CGCTGTGCACAATTTCAAGTCCGGGTAGTTCGCAGCCAGGATCGAAGCATGGTACCCGGTGCGGTCTGCTCGCAGAACGAAATGTTCGCAGGTTGTTGCAAGCACAGATTTGCGGATCAAGGAACCGATCATAACCTCCTCGTCTGCGATACTGTGGCCGCTGGAATGGTGCGGACCGGTTTGGCTGGTTATAGCTGAACCGGCGCCATTTGTTGCCCTGTGGTCCACGTATTAGATTTTTCGGGGCAATTGGGTGGACTAGTTGAGCAGGCGGTTTTCCTAACTGTGGTACCTCTGAGTAGTGTTCTACTCGGTTCACCGCTTCTTGTAAATTCTGGGGTGGGTGGAGGAGTAGGGCACGACCCAGCTCCATTGGGTTCAGATTCTTAACAGAAAAGTGTAGGGCTGCGTAATGACAGTCCGTCTCGGAGACTGAGGGATAGGCTGCTCTGCAGAGACGCCGTAGTTCCGCTGCATACTCGTTAAGTGTTTCGGCCGGTAGTATACAGCGTGCGTACATCTGGTCCAGTGCCGCTCCTTTGGATATCCTCGACTTCAGCAAATGCCCCGACTGCCGGCACAATTCTTCTACGGGTGTGTCCTCTTCGAGGCCGGCATCTAAGGCCTTGTCCAACTGTGACTTCGTCAAGCCTTGTAGGATAGCCATGCTTCGATCCTGGCTGCGCACTACCCGGACTTGAAACTGTGCACGGCTTAGCCAGGTCGAAAAGTCTTATTCTTCGTCATAGCCGGACAATTTTAGCTGTAGACTATTACCAGAAGGACAAACTGCGTTCTGAGTAGTGAAGGTCGAATCCCACCGCTGCCACCAATGTAGCGCCCTCCAATCTCGGGGTAGGTTCTGATGTTGATGCAGGAGTTCCTTCGGGCGTCTCTTAGTGAACTCTCGAGTACAGTCGCAGAGACCGCACTTCGAAGTAGGCCAAAGGCCGAGCAGAGTGTGCTTATCGACAGTGGATGGTTCTCGGCCAAATTGGGTTGGGTGTCTGCCTCTGCACTTAACCTTTCAGTCTGGTCAGAAGGAGAAATCTTTCCTAGTTGTACTAGGCTTAACGTGGGATGTGTTACTGGGGGTGGACTTCTTTGACTGGCACGAGTGCACTATCCAAGTGGAACAACGCACTATTACATTTTATTGGCCAAAATGCACGACCGAG